TAACTGGTGGAAGAGACAAAAGAGTAGTCAGACAAGCCGGGGTCAACAACAACAGGACAAAACGGTACAGGACAGCAGACGAGAATCACAGGTCACAAGCCGGGTTCAGCAACAGAGGATCAGATCAAAGGAGAATACAAAGAATAGTCAAGTCACAAGCCGAATCAGAATACCAGGAGCGTCACAAGAGTCAGAACAGAGTAATAGCAACACCAAGACACAAGTGCAAAGAGCATGTGCGGGCCACAGGCTTATATGTCATCAGCCACACCCCTCTGGGGGATGGACCACAGAAACCTGAAGGCATAAAAGGATTCCCATCATGCATAGCAGAATCCAAGATGGACGCCAGCACATGGAGTAACATAACCTCAGGGAAAAGGTAGGACCTTGACACTATATGGGGGATGAATTACTATATGGGGGATGAATTACTATAAAAACTTATTGAAACTAAAAACAGTGTACCATCCTATGTATTTTCAGTTTTAAAAATGTGGCTCTCAAAATAAATTTCAATCGTGGTTTTGGTGAGATTTGGCTCAGTTGAAAAAAAAGGTTGCCCACCACTGAGCTAGGCTACTCCAGTATCTTAATGGGCTTCTTCTTGAGCCACTCCTTTGTTGCCTTAGTGGTATTTTTTGGGTCATTGTCTTGCTGGAACACCCATCCATGACCCATCTTCAGTGTTCTGGCTGAGGAAAAAAAGGTTCTTATCCAAGATTTTATAATACATGGCCCCATCCATTGGCCCCTCAATGCGGCAAAGTCTGCTTGTACCTTTAGCAGAGAAACAGCCCCAAAGCAGAATGTTTCCACCTCTGTACTTGACTGTAGGGATGATGTTCTTAAGGTCATAGCCAGCATTTTTCTTCCTCCAAACATGGTTAGTCGAATTAATGCCAAAAGAGCTAAATTTTGGTGTCATCTGACCACAGCACTTTCTCCCAATCCTTCTGTGAATAATTTATATATTAATTGGCAAACTTCAGATGGACCTGTAGGAGGGGGACCTTGCAGGTCGCCGCAGGATTTCAATCCATGGCGGCATATTGTGTTACGAACCGTTTGTTTGGTGACTGTGGTCCCAACTGCCTTTAGATCAGGGGTGTCAAACTGGTGGCCCTCCAGCTGTTGCAAAACTACAAGTCCCATCATGCCTCTGCCTTTGGCAGTCATACTTGTAACTGTCAATCTTGCAATGCACCATGGGACTTGTTTATCAACAGCTGGAGGGCCGCCAGTTTGACACCTGTGGTTTAGATCATTCACAAGCTCCTCCCGTGTAGTTCCTGGCTGATCCCTTCACTTTTTTCATGAACATCCTTTCCCCATGATGCAAAATCTTGTATAGAGCTCCAGACTGAAAGCGATTGATGGTTATTTTGTATTTCTTCCATTTGCGAATTATCGCTCCAACAGTTGACTCCACCAAGCTGCTTTCTGATGGTCTTGTAGCCCATTCCAGGCTTGTACAGGTCTACAATCTTGTCCCTGATGTTCTTTGACAGCTCTTTGGTCATTTGCCCATGGTGGTGAGGTTTGAATGGAAGAAAGAAATTTTGTGGACAGGCGTGTTTTTTATACACATAACGAGTTGTCATAAGGAGCCCCTTTTCTTACACTGTCAGAACTAATCTGTGTACCACGTGAGCACATAACCAGTCTGTGGGAGCCAGGAATATTGTTGGTTGGTGGGGATCAAATACCTATTTTACTCAATGAAATGCAACTCAATTTATAACATTTGTATCATGTGTTTTTTTCTGGATTTTTGGCTGATATTCTGTCTCTATCATTTAAAATACACCTATGATAAAATTGATAGAACCTTAATTTCTTTGAAAGTGGGCAAACTTACAAAATCTGCAGGGGATCAAATAATTATTTTCCCCACTGTATGGCTTTTTTTTTTTTTCTTAGTTCCCCAGGCAGTGGAGAAAAAAAAAAATGCAGCTCTTGCTGCAATACTCAATAATGCAATACTTCAATCCAGAGTAGACCCTCACAGTAGGTCTTCTTCACCACAAGATATCCTCAGTCTTCTGGGTTAAAGCATGCCCAGCGTCATGAACTGAGGAAAGACTATGAATGCAGTACACGGACTCCAAACCCTGGTATGTTGCCCTCCACATACAGTATATTGATGCAGAAAGTGGCACTGTTGTCAAAATTTCAGCACTGAAATTTTTACATTAACCAGGACCATCTACCAACATGGAAGTACCAAGGTGAAAGTGGACCCAGCAGGTCACATGACTAGACAAAAAAAAAAAAAGTTATAAGGATAAAATTCTGCTATCAGGGGCCTCAAGGAGATCCACGGATCACAGATTTGGGCTTTCAATGGGAAAAGGCAGTTGCAATTCACAAAATGAAATCTGTTGGCAACATTTCAGGAAAAGAATCACATATGTAATCAGCATTGATCGAAGCCTGGAGCAGTATTTTCTTCAGTATACTCATTACACATTCTACTATTACAGAGATTTGTCTTTAGCACCAACCATTTAGCAACGCTTTACATATGTTGTACATTCACATCAGTTTCTGCCCTCAGGCATCTTATAATCTAAAAAGGTACCTACATTGAATGCATACATGCACATACTAGGGCCAATTTAGACAGGAGCCAATTAACCTACCAGCATGTCTTTGAGGAACATGCAAACTCCATGCACTTCTCTTTTTACATCCATCTCAGCAAGACTGTAGTTTTATGTAGCATTTGAGTAGAGGTCCACTTTATGTATACACTTACCATTCACATGGCTGATGTGAGCGAAATGCTTGTAGAGATGCATCCATCCCAGCAAAATCCCAAAACTTCACATCATAGTCGTAACCTCCTGTCACCAGACGAGCACCAGAAGGGTCCAACCCCATACCAGATACCTGGAATGACAAAACAAACCTTCAACAACTTTGCTGCAAAAATGAGAGAGAAAACAGGCATATATATATTTTAAAATTTACCTGCAGCAGATGTGAGGGCATAGCTAGGACTGAGACTAGAGAATGCATATTTTGGCCATTAGATCCTCTCTGAAACATCTGGCCACATTTAGGACTCATTAAAGTCTTTTAGATTTAATTAAAGTGGGGAAGTTCAGACAATATGAATTTTTTTTAATTGCTGTCTGTATCCCTGCTGGGCGATTTACCCCTCTATTTGTCCTGGTGATCACGGTCTCAAAGATGGAACGTTAGAGAAAATCCTACATTTTAGAACAATCAGTAGAAGTGAAGAGGAAATCTTTCAACAAGGACAAAATGTTCATACGGCAACTAAGAATTCCCCTCACTTTAAGGGAAATTTCCTCTCACTTCCTGTTGTGTTTCCAAGGAAGACTTAAAGGGAAATGTCTCCAGCAGGACAAAGACATGAAAAAAATTGACAAAAATTTAAAAAAAAATTAAAAACCTGACAGGGTTTTAATCTTTCCCTACTCTAGGGCCACACATACACTTTAATACTCCATGTGCTTTTTTCCCCCCATGCATTGTGATGCAGATATGTAGGACAGTGGTAAAACTCTGGTGCAAACAAAAAAAAACGTGGTATTCAAAAATTATAAGAAACTTGAAAATGCCATTGGTCCATAAATATTTTATAGTCATTTTAAAATACTTAAGAGGAAATGTTATGAGTGCTTCAAAGATCATATTATTTTGAGATTAACAGCACATATCAAAGAAGGTTGCCTTTATATTAAAGCAGAACTAATTCAGAACAAAAGAAAAACAAAATGTCTGATGATATTATCCATCTATAGTCACCTCTCCTCTGCTGCTTACTGGATAACCAAGGAGCAGTAGCATACTGATCATGTCTCCTCTCTCTCTGTACCTTCCCCACCATGTAAGCATGTTCATAAAGTTAGAGTGACAACAATGTAAAAAAAGCTACAAGCCCAAATTAAGGGCTGGCCCTCCATCTCCCATTTCAGTGTTGATATAAAAAACAATTTTTAAACTTACACACACTGGCCGGTTTATTAGGTACACCTGTTCAATTGTGTGGTAACACAAATTGCTAATCAGCCAATCACATGGCAGCAACTCAATGCATTTAGGCATCTAGATGTGGTGAAGATGACTTGCTGAAGTTCAAACCAAGCATCAGAATGAGGAAGAAAGGGGATTTAAGTGACTTTGAAGTGGCATGGTTGTTGGTGCCAGACGGGCTGGTCTGAGTATTTAAACTGCTGCTCTACTGGGATTTTCATGCACAACCATCTTTAGGGTTTACAGAGAATTGTCAGAAAAAGAAAAAATATTGAGCATCAGCTGTGTGGAGGAAAAAGCCATGTCAGAGATCAGAGGAGAATGGGCAGACTGGTTAGAGAGGATAGAAAGGCAACAGTAACTCAAATAACCACTCATTACAGCCAAAGTATGCCGAATACCATCTCTGAATGCACATGTCGAACGTTGAAACAGATGGGCTACAGCAGCAGACGACCACACCGGGTGCCACTCCGGTCAGCTAAGAACAGGAAACGGATACTACAATTCACACAGGTTCACCAAAATTGGACAATAGAAGATTGGAAAAACGTTGCCTGGTCTGATGAGTCTCGATTTGAGCTGCAACATTCAGATGGTAGGGTCAGGATTTGGTTTAACCGCTAGCCTACAGGGCACTTATACCCCCTTCCTGCCCAGGCCAATTTCCAGCTTTCAGCGGTGTCGCACTTTGAATGAAAATTGTGCGGGTCATGCAACACTGTACCCATATGAAATTTGTATCATTTTTCTGTGACAGAGCTTTATTTTGGTGGTATTTAATCACCTCTGGGTTTTTATTTTTTCTTAAACAAACCAAAAACCACAGAAAATTTTGAGAAAAAAAAAAAAAGGTTTTTCTTAGTTTTTGTTATAAACTTTTGTAAATAAGTGATTTTTCTCCTTCAATGATATGCGCTAAGGAGGCTGCAGTGATGGGCACTGATAGGCTGCACTGATGGACACTGATAGGTGGCACAGGTAGGTGGCACTGATAGGCATTGACAGGCATCACTGATACATGGCACTGATATATGGCACTGATAGGCAGCACTGACTGGCACTGAAAGGCAGCTCAGATAGGCACTGATATGTGGCATTGATGTGCACTGGTAGGCACTGATATGTGGCATTGATGTGGCACCGACAAAAGGCACTGATGGACACTGACAGGTGGTGCTTCTGGGGCTACACTGATCATCAGGGCACCCTGATGATCAGTGTACATGTCCCCTCCGCGGAAAGCCGATTACCGCCTCTCCTCTCGAGCTGTCAGCGTATGGTATGTCAGGTATTTACTTAGCCTTGACCTACCATAAGTTAAGCAGAAATAAAAAAAGATTCAAGTGAATCTAAAGCTACTTTCAAACTGATCTGTTGCAAAAAAGCAGTAAAAACACATGCATTTTAGCCATGCATATGACGCATTTTTCATAGGACATGCAAGTCAAAAAAGGCATCAAAAATGCAACCACGGATGTGTTTTTGACACATTTTCCATTAATTTCAATGAGATGCATTTTTGGTGCATTTTTTTTTTAATCGACCAAAAATGCATATGATTTTACGGTCATGCATTTTTTTTTTTTTTTTTTTTTTAACACAAAAGTGGAAGAAAAAAATGGATCAGTGTGAAAGCAGCCTAACTCGCTGAAACTAGAGAGAAAAGGGTAAACCACCTTGTGAAAAGATCTCATCTAGTCATTAGTTAGACTAAATGTAGTTCCTCCTCTACATCAGGGATAAATCCAAACATTGTAAGTACACTAGCACAGATAACAACAAAATGTTTGGGTGGGCTCCTCATGTCTGCACCTTAACGTGTAAACCCCGTGATCTGAACAAGCACACAAATCTATTTTAATACATTGTCCATTGTAATCATGTGACCAATCCTACTATAATGCCTGAATGTGAATACTGCATCAAATTTACTTCATCATTCATTTCAAATGAAATATACAGTTTCCTGCTTCAAACTATTTATTCCGCTGCAGTGCCAACTTTATATTCCACCAGTTTATGTGGTATTGTAGATCCTGTACTTTTCTTCTTTTAGGAGTAAAGCACTGGCAAAACTCACATGGATATTTTTCATTCCATGAGATAAGTTGACCCTCCAACTTTATGAGGTGGCTGTGGAGCCTAGGACACACAAAAAGAATAATCGGACATATGATCGTCTGGGTTTTTTTTTGCATGCTAGTCTCATATCGAAAATGAAGAGGTTACTAAGGTTACAAAAATTCTCGTACGACAGAATACAACTTCGGAAGTGATGGTATGTATTGTATTTCATTGTAATGTAATATTTTATTTTCAAGCATGTGCGGTCTTGGTCACTCAGTTTTTCATGGACGAAGACTATACAGATTAAACCAAAACATTCATTCTGTTATCATACGAGAACAATTTTTATGCTTGTCCCTTCGGATAATTTCATATGAACGGTAGTGAGCGGCTCTTGAAAGCTGTGTACTAATGATCAGATTATTGGACGGTCATTCTGAAAGCGGTATTTGTCTTTTTTGTGTACTAGGCATTAGGGTCCTTACACACGCACACGCACACAAATATCTAAAATTGACCTTTTTTCCCCCCTTTATTATTTTTAGGTATATGAATTAAACATTTAAAAAAAAAAGAAGTTTTGATAGTAAAAGAAATGTAAACAGTCTTTTCAAAGAGAGTGTCACCATTTTAAAAAACTTTGTTTCTATTCATAGCTTATTTATGACTACCTGTTAATGCCAATACTCCTGCTACTTCTAAACTTCTCAGTCTAGCCTCCACTTTGGCCTGAAGCAATGGGTACATGCGTCATCCCACTCTGCTCTGATGGCAACACCCTTGACCTGGTATTCTCCCATCTATGTACTCTGTGTAAGCTCTCCAACAATCCTTTTCCACTCTCTGATCACCACCTTATTAGTTTCAGTCTCTCACCTCCTCTTCCTCCAACTGCTAACAGTTACCCGTCGAAACCTTCGCCACCTCAACTCTTCTCGACTCTTCTACTGACCACCTCCATGACAAAATCTGACCCCTGTCCTGCCCCAATATAGGCATGTCGGTCTACAACAGCTCACTGTCATCCTCCCTAGACAAGTGACTATAACCTGGCAATTTCTGTGGCAACATATACATATTCATATTCATAATATATATATACTGTATATATATATATACATACATACACACACACACACACACACACACACACACACACACACATATACAGTTGCAAGAAAAAGTATGTGAACCCCTTGGGATTATGTGGAGTTTTGCATGAATTGGGCATAAAATGTGCTCTGAACGTCATCTAAGTCACAACAATAGAAGAACACAGTCTGCTGAACATAATACTACACAAACATCAGATGTTGCCATGGTTTAATTGCACATAACATGTAAACATTCACAGTGCAGGGAGGAAAAAGTATGTGAACCTTTGGACTTAATAACTGGTTGACCCTCCTGTGGCAGCAATAACCTCAAGCAAACGTTTCCTGTAGTTGCAGATCAGACCTGCACAACGATCTGGAGTAATTTTGGACCACTCCACTTCACAAAACTGTTTCAGTGTAGCAATATTCTTGGGATGTCTGGTGTGAATCACTCTCTTAAGGTCATGCCACAGCATTTCAATCGGCTTGAAGTCAGGACTCTGACTGGGCCACTCCAGAAGACGTATTCTGTGCTGTTGCAGCCATTGTTTTGTTGAATTACTTGTATGCTTTGGCTCATTGTCCTGTTGCATCACTCATCCTCTGCGGAGCTTCAGCTGGCGGACAGATGGTCGTACGTTTTCCTGCAAAATGTCTTGATAAACTCTGGAATTCATTTTCCCATCAATGACAACAATCCGTCCAGGCCCTGAGGCAGCAAAGCAGCCCCAAACCATGATGCTCCCTCCACTATGTTTTACAGTGGGGATGAGGTTTTGATGTTGGTGTGCTGGGCCTTTATTCTCCACACATAGTGTTGTGTGTTCTTCCCAAACAACTCAATCTTGGTTTCATCTGTCCACAGTATATTTTGCCAGTAGTGCTGTGGAACATCCAGGTGCTCTTTTGCAAACTTCAAACGTGCTGCAATATTCTTTTTGGACAGCAATGGCTTCCTCCGTGGTGTCCTCCCATGTACTCCATTCTTGTTTAATGTTCTCCTTATTGTAGATGTGTCAACAAAAATGTTAGCATGTGCCAGAGATTTCTGTAGGTCTTTAGCTGACACTCTGGGATTCTGCTTTACCTCATGCAGCATTCTGCGCTGTGCTCTTGTAGTAATTTTTACAGGACGACCACGCCTAGGGAGAGTAGCAACAGTGCTAAACTTTCTCCATTTGTACACAGTCTGTCTTACCGTGGACACATGAACATCAAGGCTTCTGGAGATACTTTTGTAACCCTTTCCAGCTTCATGCAAGTCAACAATTCTTGATCGTAGGTCTTCTGAGAGCTCTTTTCTGCGAGGCATGGTTCACATCAGACAGTGCTTCTTGAAACCAGTAAACCCAAAACAGGTGTGTGTTTTTTAAGGGCAGGACAGCTGTCAGCAACACATCCAATATCATCACACTGATTGGAGGCAAGGTTGGCTCACTCCTGGCTCCAATTAGCTCTGGGAGAAGTCATTAAGCTAGGGCCTCACATACTTTTTCCTCCCTGCACTGTGAATGTTTACATGTTATGTGCAATTAAACCATGGCAACATCTAATGTTTGTGTAGTATTATGTTCAGCAGACTGTGTTCTTCTATTGTTGTGACTTAGATGACGTTCAGAGCACATTGTATGCCCAATTCATGCAAAACTCCACGTAATCCCAAGGGGTTCACATACTTTTTCTTGCAACTGTGTATATATATATATATATATATATATATATATATATATATACATACACATACACATATATATATATACATACACATACACACACACACACACACATATATATACACACACACACGCACGCACAACAAACATATATACATACATACACATACATATACACACACACACACACACACACACACACACACACACACACACACACACACACACACACACACACACCTCTTCATCCCTGGCAAACAAAGGACACCAGAAGTCTCAAAAAATGTAGCCGTGCTCTTGAGCAACTGTGGCGTAAGACTAAGGCTACGTTCACACTAGCGTTGTGTGCAGGCAGGCGGCAGAGAGGTGTTTGGGAAGTGTTTTTACCGCTTCCCAAACGCCTCGGACAATTCTGCACATTGCAGCACATGGTGCTGTCCTAACGGGAGCATTAGCGTCGCGGCAAAACGGAAGCCTCTGGTCAAGTCAGGAGGCGTTGAAGCCTCCTATTCTAGTCTATGGTGCCGCTCCACAAACGCCCGGCCGGCGTTTGCGGTGCGGTTGCGACGCGGTTGCAGGGCATTTGCAGAGTGGTAACACCATTCAAACTTCATTATAGGCGTTTGTGGGGCATTTTTAACGCTCGGCAAATGCCTAGCAACCGCCGCTAAACCGCGCATGCGACCTTTGCGGAGCATTTGCCAAGCGTTAAAAAAAACGCTCCGCAAACACCGGACCAACACTTGTCAAACACTATAGGGGCGTTTGGCAAGCCTTGGTAAAACAGTCAAGTGTGAACGAGCCCTTAGTCTCAGAAAGATTTCAGCCTATATAAATCTGACCTCCAGAAATACTTTGCCTGCCTCCACACTGCCAAGCAGACCTATTTCATCACGCTCATTAATACCTTTTCATCCAGGCCCCATCAACTCTTCTCTACCTGCAACTTTCTTTTTCATCCTCCACTGCCTCCATCCACTAACTCACTAACTGCCGAGGAGATCGCCAATCAAAAAGAAGACTAATACAATTTGTGAGGAGATGTCCACAGATGCAATCAATACTTCACTCATTCAACCCCACTACTATGGCTGAGGTTGCTAAACGTTTTTCTAACGCCCACTTAACCACCTGCCCACTGGACCCTGTTCCGTCACAAATGTTACGGTGATCCTCTGGCTCTATTCTACACTCTATAAGTCACATCTTCAATCTCTCCCTCTCTTCCAGGATCTTCCCCAACTCTCTAAAACATGCACTAGTTGCCCCCATACTTAAAAAGCCCTCACTAGACCCCACCAATCTTAACCACCTACGATCTATCTCCTTACTCCCTTTTTCCCCTAAACTCCTCGAATGCCTGGTCCACAACCGACTGAGCGACCATCTCACTGAGAACAACCTTCTTGATCCCCTTCAGTCTGTATTTTGCCTACAACACTCCACAGAAAAATTGCTCTCCTTAAAAACTCACAAATTACCTACCAAT